AGCAAAATATGGGCCATTTTTTGCTCATTTCTGCCCTCCCCAGTCCCCAGGAGCTCCCTGAAAGCCTTCTACAGGTTCTGCACGGCCATTTTGGTGAAGGGGGGGGGGGGAGAGGCAAAAAATGCTGTATTCAGTGTATAAGATGCACCCAGCCTCTTTTTTCAGCCTCTTTTTTTTTAGGGGAAAAAGGTGCGTCTTATACTCCAAAAAATACGGTAATCCTTCCATGCGGCACTTGTAAACAATTCTTAATGACGGAAGAAACCAGAATAGCAACAAAGCAAATTATCTCCAATGCCGAGACTTTCCCCGTCTCAGGGACTCCCTGGAAAATCAACGTTACTTACTGGCTGGGAGGTGGAAACCACTGTGGTGCTGACAGGAACCTGTCGCACAGTGGAGGTTCCTGGTCCTATGGATATGGGTGTTCCCGCCGCTGACACCACGGCGACAGCCTTGGAGACAGAAGCCGTCATGGTGGGCAGGGAAACCGTAGAGGTATGGCCGGTCCCAGGGATGCTGACGGAAGAAGAAGAGGCCATATGCTTGGCATGAGTGGCTACTGTAATTGTCTGGCCAGGTTTGGGTGGCATCACTCCCATGCCCTGTACAATCCTTATGGTGGCCGCTGGCTTGGCTTCAGAGGACGCTATCGTGGTTATGGCCTTGCCCTTGTGGTCCGCCACGGACATGCCCAAAGCAGGCATCAGTCGGAAAGCAGAACCAGCAGACTCCACCGTTTTCAACTCTGGCGTCACTTTGACCACTGTTGGTCCAGCAGGACCAGGTGAAGCAGAGGTGTTGGGTGTGCTGGTCTTGGCAGGAGAGTCCGAGGATTGGATGGGGCTTGACGTCACACGCAGAGTGGCGCAGATGCCCTTCCCTGCAGGGTTGCTTCCAGCGGCGGCGGCTGTGCTGAAGAGGTCTTGAGTGAGTTTGACAGTAGTGACTTGAGACTTGGCCAAGGTGGCCATCATGTCCGGAGTGATGCGGAGGACTGTTTGCCCCTTGGCATCTGTGGTGATGGAGGATGGAGGAAGACGCAGGACATCCTTGCCTTGAATACGGAAGTTGGATGTGGTAAGTGGGAGGCTGCTCCCAGTCTGGCTCTTCATGCCTAGCTGTCCGGTAATAGCCACCTGCAAAGCAAAACAGGCATCAATCTGTTTTAAAAAACACTGGTGGGAGTGTGTGTAGCCATGCTGATTATATTGCATGGGTGGCCATGCCAACTAAACAGGGCTGGTGGGCCAAAAGTGATATGGAAAGTGCCTTTCAGTTATTAAAACCTTGAGCTCTTTAAAAACCAGGCAAATTAATGGGCAATGGGACTACCCCTCCAAGGCTGAGTAGCAGGGGTGAAATGCTACCGGTTCGGACCGGTTCGCCTGAACCGGTAGTAAAAAAATGTTACCAGTTGGGGTGAACCGGTATTTCCAAAGATCAACTGTGACGTGTGATTTATATTAGCTAGAATCGTCGGATTTCCTGCTTTCTAGCTAATCTAAATTGCGTAGCACAGCGGATTCCCTCCCCCCCCCCTCTGTTTCGCTTATCTTTGCAGGTGTGCTCGGTAGCAGGCTCCACCTACCCGCCCGAACATCATCACATCCCCTTTTTTACACTCTGCG